TCCCGTACTCAACGAACGCAAACGTATCAACTTATCAGTAAGTTTCGTTCATCCAGCTGATGGCAGCCATGCTAACTACGCACACGATAGGTTTTATAACAATCGCGTCACATTTGAAGAGATCTTTTCAGCAGAAGGTATTAATACTCTCGGTATACAAAGTGAGCTTTAACGTTTAGATCTTCTAAGCTTTGTATTGAAGTTCGCTTAGATGCTGCAGCAAAAGGCATAGCGGGAAGAGCAGTCCTGTTGGACTGGGCTGGATGGATGGAGTCCAAGAATGTTTCATTCGATACACTTGGTGTGAGTCCTGTCGAGCGTAATACCCGTTTATTCTGTTGCTGACTCGACATAGGAGGGAAGTATAACTGTCGGTGAACTTGACGCAGTCGCCGAATGGCAAGGCATGAACTCTAGTTCCTTCACTCGTCCAGGAGACTTCCTAGTCATACATACCGGCTTCAACAAACAATACGCTGCTTTACCGGTCCACGAACAAATGACAGCTCCGTACCGAGAAGAAGCACACTTTTTAGGTGTAGAGACGAGCGACAGGACTCTGGCTTGGATTTGGGAAAAGAAACTGTCATTGGTCGGAGCAGACAACCTAGGATTCGAGACGTTCCCGACTCAAGGTGTCGTTGATGGCTTGAACAGGTCACTACATGAGGTATTTATTAGCGGGTGGGGGCAAAGTATTGGTAAGTTTAAGTTGACCATCCCTGCTTGCAGTACTGAATGCCTTTATAGTGGAATTGCTCGACCTTGAGAAGCTCGCGGAAACTTGCCATTCCCTCAACAAATTCACATTCTTCTTCACGATTCAAGTACTCAATGTACCTGGAGGAGTTGCTAGTCCACCGAACGCGATGGCGATTCTTTAACGTATCGAGAGTATTTAATTTACCCTTCGAAATTCAATAGACGTTAGTACTATTATTTATCAAACTGGCACTCGTATCAATCGTGCTGAATATTCTGAAAGAATCCCAAGTCTGCAGACCCAACTATTATGTACCCCTTCATGATCATCTAAGATAACCGCCGCAGTCCTGATTATTAGATTGATTTGAATTGCTTTACATATCAAACACCGACGAACAATGTTTGGGGACGATATATTGATACATGAGATAGGCACCCCAAAATAGATTCATATCACTTCAGTATATAAAAGCAGTACTGCGGCTCAGGCTAGACGTTCTTCCGCATGGACACTATTGTGACTAGTCCACCCCTGATAGCTCTGTTGGGCGTCGCACTTTTACTTTTTCTCAGATTAGCATACAATTGGTGGAATTCACCCTGTCAGCATCTCCCTGGACCACCGAGCTCGAGTTTTTGGTATGGTAGCATCAAAGATTTGAATGCCGATGTGAGTATTTCAGATAAATTGTCTCAAATCGCCTTACTGACCAGAGATTTTAGGAAACCAACTCTTTGCATGAACGTTGGGTATCACAGTACGGCCCTACTTTCACTTACAAAGGACTTTTTGGGGTTAGAATCTGTTTGTATTTTGATCAACTTCTCTTCTAATCCTATTCTCCAAAGCGATCTCGCTTGTACACGGTCGATGTTAAAGCTATTCAACACATACTACATCATAACTACGACTATGAAAAGCTAGAATCTACACGCTTTGTAATGAGTAGCGTAATCGGAAATGGTGTGTCTGATACTCTTTACTGATGGTGTCGATACTTACGCTGCCCCAGGCGTTCTAGTAACTGAAGGCGACAAGCACAGGTCCCAAGTGAATGATATGTTACTTATGAATACTTTAAAAAACTGATCTTGCTTCAATTCGTAGAGAAAAGTCATGGTTCGTATCGCTTGTACATGGTCATAAAGGACCAACTTCTCAATGTATTCAGAATCCAGCCTTTGGCCCTGCTCAAATTCGGGAGTTTGGGGATATATTTCTCGAGAAATCTGTCCAGGTAAATCAACATTCAATTGCAAGTTGAATCGTTTTCACACAAACATCAAGCTTCGAGATATCTGGTCCGCATATTTAAGCAAACACGGAGAAGGAAGTGAAATCGACGTCCTTTCCTGGTTTTCCAAAGCTACATTGGATATCATTAGTATCGCCGGTACGTTTCCTTCCTCTGAACTTCCATCTACGATTCAGTCCTGAAAAATGTTACCCGCTATCGAAGGATTTAACTATCAGCTTGATACTCTTTCCGATACGCCAGCACGAACAGAGTTCCATGACTCCTTGGACACAATCTTTCAGATGGCTTCGGCTTCCAAGATGAACGTCTGGCGTATATTGCAGGCCTACGTTCCAGCATTGCGTATTCTGGTGAGTGTATTCGACCTAGAAAGAAAGAACTGAGTAGTTCATTGAAGTTATACTTATCAGCCATCAGCCTTTGACCCCAATCTGCTCAAGGCTCGAGCGACGATGCTTCAAATGGGAAAGCAGTTGCTGGAAGAGACAAGGACGTTCCAGCTAGGCACTGGAGAAAAGGGACATAGTATGCACGCTAAAGACTTGCTTTCTTTAATGGTCAGATCCAATATGAGCGAAGATGTGTCAATCGACCAGAGAATGAATGACGAGGATGTCATTGCTCGTATGTCTTTCGGTTGCTCGAGAACTCGACCATATATTCTCTGATTTTCGTAGAGGTACCGACGTTCCTAGTCGCCGGACATGAAACAACCAGGTAAGTTCAAGTTGCTTCAAACCTAATTGTGTAACTCTGATAGATTCCCATTTTATATCGTAGTACCGCCCTGGCTTGGACTCTGTTTTCTCTAGCTGAAAACCCCGAAATTCAATCGCGTCTACGTGCAGAACTGCTTTCTCTAAAAACAGAAAATCCGACGATGGATCAAATCAACAGTTTATTGTATTTGGATGCCGTCATTAAAGAGACCCTTCGCATATACTGTCCGGTTACTTCTCCTAATCGCGTGGCAATGAAAGACGATGTTATTCCCTTGAGCAGACCATTTAAAGATAAGTATGGGGTGATACACAATACACTTCCGTACGTCTTTCAAACGAAACATTCATTTATTTTCTCTGATAGATTGAAAGCGTTCGGAAAGGCCAGACGATCACTATTCCCATCATTTCTATTAACAGGTACGTCTTAACAAAGGGAAACTCTGAGAGTGAAACTACGCTTACTATATAATGCATCTAGAGACAAGTACTTGTGGGGTGAAGACGCTAAGGAATTCAAGTAAGTAGGGTTTTGCATTCCACTCTTGTGACCGATCGTCATCGAACGAATTAGGCCTGAGCGGTGGTCCAATCTTCCTGAGGCAGTCTCTGGAATTCCTGGAGTATGGGGAAACACATTGACTTTCCTTGGGGGCGCTCGATCCTGTATCGGATGGCGATTCGCAGTAATGGAGTAAGTGCATTGGATTCTCGGTCTTTCACGAACGAATTCTAATGGGACCGGTATCGCTTCCAGGATGAAGGTTTTACTCTTTACTCTCATTCGAACCTTTGAGTATGAGATGGCAGTTCCCAAGGAAGATATTATCGTCAAGCGCTCGGCTCTCTTTCAGAAGCCAGTGGTAAAATCTCGAACTCAGGAAGGACGGATGAGAAATGAGTTACCGTTATTGGTCAAAACGGTAAAAGATGGCGATGCATGATATAACGCATTCCCAGACAGCATGGTATATAGTAAATTCGAGCATCGAGTCGTTACGCTGAGAAATTATATATACTTATCACAGAAAATTGCCCGAAGTCAGGTAGCGAGCTACAGCATTTCAGTTATAGCCATCGAAAAGTCTCCAAACCAGATACTCTGTTTCTTCGGAGAAGCATAGTCAGGGGTAGAACCTTCCAGGATTGTTAGTTGTACTTTATATTTCAGAAGTCAAAGCAGTAGTTACCACCAAAAAACGTTTGCATGATAATCCCTCGGATTCTTCCTGAGTCACTGTCTGTGATTTGTAAACCCGAAACTTTGATAACACTGTCGCCTTCGACGAATAGTTCCATCTCCCCGTTGGTTTCTCCTGCATCATTAAGCTTCACCCTCATACTAACGGTAGTCCATTGACCCTTTTTGAAAGTGAAAGCTCCGCGACCAACTGATGAACCGTATTCGGGATTGCAATGAGACTCTGGGGGAACATCGCATTGTACTTTATTAGCATCAACATCGGGAAGGTAGGTGTAGAATTCTCCTAAGCCATCTGTCCGCCACATAAGGCGGATAGAGAAGCAGGATGTATCACGACGGCCTCCAGAACAAGATTTGGAGCCCTCCGGATCATCTCCGCCGTCTGAAGAGAGCTCGGTCAGCGAGTGGGAGGATACAGGATGAAATCAGACTTACATAGACCAGGCAGCTTTCCCCCTTTCACGAAATCAAAATCTTCCGGAAAGAATACGGAGTATCCGAATGTAGCTTCCTTTGCAGTTGTGAGATCCACATCTGCAGGTCCGGCGGGTTCTTTACTAGGGATGTAGGAGCCTTCTGGAAAGACAGCCTCCATGGTATTTTTACCATTGAAGGTACCATAGTTATGAGGTAAGGCCTTCTTGTCCTTGCTAACCACTAATGTTTCGTCGTCGAGAGGAAGCGCATCTGAAGACTCAGAGCAAGTGGTCCAAGATTCGGTGAAGCCGGGAATAGGAAATAGCATGGACAGTAGGCCGGAAAGTTGACCTGATTCTGTATTTGTGCCAGGAGATTCTGAGCTTGAAGCCCTGACAATAGCTACGCTCAAAGAACGGCTGCTTTTCAACGAACCAGCATTGACAAGCATGAAGAAAATGGAAGCAAGCAAAGAGACCTCGGGAAGCTTTGAGAGCATAAAGTACGATAGAGAGAGGAGGGTGTTTGGAATAGAGAAGCCATGTACAGTTGGACTTTAAGGAAACCTTGAATTGGTCGAGTTGCCTCGCTTCTTCCGCGATCAGTGATTGTCATGATCTGCCGGCCTGTGCGGCATTTCAATTCATTGCCGGTACTTTCCCCAGCAAACTTATTCTTTTTCTACACGAGTACGGGTGGATGGTGTAAATGGTAACACGCGTGCAAGTATGTCTGGTACGAGCTATGAGGTTCGAGTCCCGTTCTGCCCAAGAACTCGTGAAGTTTTCTTTGACTTGCGGCAAAATTTCTACGCACGGTGATCATTAATCCCTTCTACGTATTAGCCAGCAAATCACTAGTGCCAGCTAATCCTCAGCAACTTTCCATGGACACCCGAATGGCTCTGCGCGTCTCCTTGAGTGCTCAATGTAAACGGGCAAAAACGGCGTGAACAGGCTTTCTGGAGCGCTCGTAACATCTCCACCTCAAATCCAAGATCTGGACTCCGCGCCAGGATTTGCGGGGTTCAAGCATCTCCATGCAAATTTTCCGCTATTCTCCTTTATCCATGGTGCTAAGCTATGATTACTTGTCTGAAGTCTGAATTTTGGAATACTGGCTAGACCATTCAAATACATCCGTCAAATACATCCGGTACACAAATTTTGAGCTGAATTAGAAAGACAAGTTACTATGTTCATAAAATTGATGAACGAAGGTATCAGGTGTGAGATCTGATTCCAAGAAGGCATAATCTGGGAGCGATGCATCGCTTTCGAATATTTCCATCTCCGATGATGCTATAGGTTGAAAGCCAGCGAGAAAATAATCAGAAAAAGTCTGGGTAGTATTATTTTCCTCGAGTAAAGAGGAATGAGAACGACGCGGTAGGCCGACGTGAGGTCTATGAAGAAGATATGGTGTCGAAACTTTTGGGAAAGATGATCGAGGTCCGCTGAGTCCACCGTATTTCTTGACCAACGAACGTAATTCTCGGGAGAAAGGCTTTTGAGGGACGGGACAAAGCAGAGTTCTGATATTGGACTCTGCATAAGTATTGGCAGGTAGGGAAATATGTTGATCGTCCAGATCCTGTGGTTCCGTAGCAAAATATGGAGGAAATTCGAGAAATTGTGCATCGAACGTACACGCAGATGGATTAGTGATCAAATCTGCGCAGGTTTGGATTTCATAGCGAGGAAAATTGCACGTATAATCCATCGCACCGGTGCGATAACAAGACATAGAACGGGGAGTAGTGAGTTGAGGAGAGGGAACGGGACTTGGTACGTGCTCAAAATGCTGGGATCCAAAAGGAGCCGCTACCTCTACAGTGGCAAGATCTATTTCTAGAGGTGAGGTAATCGGTGACCCTGGGGTCTCAGAGGGTGGCGTCAAAACGACTGACTGCACAAAAATCAGCGTTCTGAACTGCGTCTGCGGAAATCAGTTCACTCACCATGACCCCAATATCCTCACTGCTACTGCTACTCTGCAAATCATTTCGAGTGGATAGTTTGAATACGTTCAGTCCTTTTCGATACTAGGAAGATACCAAATGTCAATAGAAGATCGGGTTCTCTATGACGAAGTCCACATCTCATACCTTTTTACGGCCACGTTTAGGCTTCAACCTCTCGTATGTACAATCTAGCAATCGTTCATATAACAAATTCAGCTCCCAGTCTCGAGAGAGGCCTAAATTACCTACCTATACCGTTCTCAAAACACCAGTGGCACACTATACCTGGATTGGGTTTAAAGCATCGTGCATGACGATTGGCACATGCATCACAGCCTTCAGAGAATTTGACATCAGGATCGTCAAGGATTTGAGAAATTGCTGACTTACGTCGAGCGTTAGGCAGTGGTTTTCCAGTTACAGTAGTGTTGATTATTTCTATGAAAGTCGTTCAGGTCCGATTTACTGATTAGAAGTTATGGTGTTCACCTTCGATGGAGCTCTTCATGTTTCGGCGTTCCGTTTTGAGGCAGGTCTGGGTATTCTGACAGCAAGTTGGGTAAAGTGGAAGAAAAGAGTAGGTATCGCAATATCGTAATGGCACACCGAATTGAACAAGCTCCTTGGGAAACGTGATGTGGCAGTAAGTCCCGTTCCTACTCCAGACCACGCTCCTTAAACTTTGGCTCCAGATCTTGTTGCTTTGAGCTCTCTGTTCCAACATGCCTTCGGTTGCAATTTTTAGTAGAATGGTTTAGGTACGAACCAGCGTCCGACCTCATGATTGTGAAAATCTGCTCTCGTCGAACCTAATGTTTCTGGACAAGCCGGCCATTCATGAAGGGAGGGGTGAGTAGAAATCGATACCTACACGCCCAACGAGGTCGAGATTTGATTTTTTACGGGTTTATCAGGTAATTATCGGGCACGAGGTCGCGCTAATAGTATGACCAACGGCGCCGTCATCGATACCGCCCTGCTGTACAATAATAATGGCCAGGTGAACGTAAAAATACATCTGGTATTAATCCCAGAGTCCCAGTAATGCTAGAGGAGCCAGCAGAGGACTGCCGTCATCTAACTGGACAGATGTTTCAAGTCCAGGATATTGGAGACGCATAATGCTACTTGGAGTGAGCCAACGGTGAGTACTAAGAAGATAATCGATATCACATCAAGTGAAGCTAATGTCTGGTTTTATTACCAGAATCGCATTGAGCAGTAGAAGCAATTCCGACCAAGTCATACACAATTATTCGGGATGCCGGGTCAAATTTCAGTTGCATATTCTCCCGGTCAAAAGTTGAACTCACATACACTTTCTCGATAGAATCTCTGAATTGGAACACATCGATAGCATGTCTATGCGAGCTTCTCAAGTCAAAATATATGAGTTGGAGCAAACAGGAAACACGCAACCTCCATAGCTTAGAGTTTATCACCGAAACATAGAGGTCAACTGCTACTGTCTGTACGAATTCGCTGGACTTCAGAACCGGAGGTGAGTCGGTCATCATCACAGGAATCGCAAGACTCACACATTCTTAGCAAAAAAAAGCACAACACGAAAAGGACTTCCGAATGTTTCCGAACAAGGCCTTCGTCAGCGCTGTGCGTTCTCAGATCAAGACATCACCTCCGCTCAAGCCTCGTCCAGTCTTATGTGTCGAGATATCCTTGCAGTATGGAAGGGAAGCATTGGGGAATACATGGAACGGCTTGTGATCCCAATTTTCCACTGGTAAAGTCGTCGTTTATTTTTCAGTGTAGGCGGTATTGTGTCGACGAATTCAGTCTTCCAATTGCCTGAACGAGGTTGCATGTTGATGTGTTCGGCGACCATGCGAATAGTTGCCTGGTAGAGGTATCAAATAAGGAGACGTGGTGGTGGTTGTACTTGCTGAGCGCCGAGCCCGAGTCCCGACAGTGACTCAAACATATTGACCTGGTACCGAACAAGTGACGTAACGACGCAGCCCTTGGTTCTGAACAGCCATCTTGCTTCATGCGGACTGGCTAGGCCACGTCGACGTGCAGTGGTAGACAGAAGGACGCTACATAATGGTAACATAATACATCTACCAAAGTCCGTGGAATTCCAAGGATGCTGATATATGTAAGGCCGCGAGGCATCCTTTTTATTCTCAGTCATCGTGTGTTAACAAGGCTTCCTTAGTTCTCTCGGATGTGCTTGAAATACAAAATATATGTATGATCGTTATTTTTTTTACCAACATTTCTACACTACTCCCCTAGCGGTCGTTCAGCGCCGTGTAGGTTTTGCAGAGGTTGTGCCTGAACTACTGCTACTCGTGCTACTCGAAGTACTGGTTGTCGAGCTCCCTGTGTCATCAGCAGTCGTGCTTGTATCAGCTGGATCACTAGAGTCGGTGGGCTCAGCACTTGGATCATCATCTGGACTGTCAGGGTCGTCTGAGGTAGGGTCATCCGAAGTGGGGTCTGAAGTGGGGTCGTCTGAAGTGGGATCGTCTGAAGTGGGATCGTCTGAAGTGGGGTCGTCTGAAGTGGGGTCGTCTGAAGTAGGATCGTCTGAAGTGGGGTCGTCTGAAGTGGGGTCGTCTGAAGTGGGGTCGTCTGAAGTGGGGTCGTCTGAAGTGGGGTCGTCTGAAGTGGGGTCGTCTGAAGTAGGATCGTCTGAAGTGGGGTCGTCTGAAGTGGGGTCGTCTGAAGTGGGGTCGTCTGAAGTGGGGTCGTCTGAAGTGGGATCATCTGGTGGATCCTCTCCCTCAGTCTGAGTAGAATTTCCGCCAGCACCGTCCGCCAATTTGCAACAATACTTGATAGTTGTTACTTGTCCCTGGAGCAAGCACGACTGAGTCAAGTCTGGCTCGTAGCATTGGTTCCAGTTCCTCTTGTCCGTGGTGACGACTTCTTTTGGTTTACCGAGAAGGCTGTATTCAATGCATTCTTTCAGTTTCTAGAGTTTTCAGATGATGGATTAAAGATTACTCACCTGTTCGGCTTATCGCAGGTGAGCGAACATCCCTGATCAAAGCCTCCACCACAAAAGTTGCCTTGACCGGGTTTAGGTTCATTAGAGCATATGGGGTTACAATCGTTGGCGACAATCACTCCTTTGATTGACGGAGCTTTCATTTGCTAGAGGATGGCGGATTGTGAGTGCTTTTTATGCCTGTAATTTTGAAGAAACACTCACAGAGCCAATTCCAATCTCTCCTTCACTGCAGACCGACCCACTTGATGTCGAGATCATGGGACTATCGTCTGGAATTGGTGTCGCGCCTGCCCAAGTTACAAGGGCGAGTACAGTCAGACCGAACAGGGCTTGACGTTGTCGGGGCATTTCTTTTTCTGGAATTTCTAGTCTCTTGGCGAGTATTCGGGTGACCAGCACCGTGTAGATGAAAAAAGGAACCAGCCTAGGGAGGCCATAGCATTCCACGACGTGTTTATAGCTTCGGATTATATTATCCAGTTCTCATCCTGATGACCATGACGTTGACGACCGCCACCGAAATCCAGTGCAATTGTCGGCGTTGCATGGTTTTCGAGCCTTGTGGAATCCTAATATCAATGATTCCAGTCTGATGGTATAAATATCTCTTTCCTCACCGCATTCGTGTGCATCGGAATAAGCTATAGTACCAATCACAACGATGTTAGTCTAATGATACTTATAAATATCTCTTCATTCACCGCATTCGTATGCATCTGTAGATCCATTTACGTGGCATCAGCAGCGCATTTGAAAGCTTAAAGCCCGACCTTTCAATGGCAGATAATGGTCTATTTGCCTTTTTGGATGACAAACGAAAAACTACATTT